CTGAGCATGGTAACGTCTCTGTGAGTGCGTAGCCATGCACAAAGACGACGAAAGGGATTGGTTTGGTCCACTAAGCCTGACTCGTGCCTTTAATCTGAACCCAAACTTAACCTTCAGCTTCAATGACCCCTCAATTGTGGTGAGCTGATCCCACGTCTCCCAACGGAAAGTGAGGTAGAAGAACCGAACGCTTGCGAAACACTTTCGTATTCATGAATCATCACTGATTCGTAATGACCACTAGTACTGGAAAAGAGGTATACCTTGACTACTGGATTGATGCACACGCCGTGCACGCATGTGTGCGTCGTTCGATTGAAGGAATCAGGCTGGCATGGATTCCTCACGGTACAACGTGAGCCAATGAATCCTAAAAATTTTAAAATTTCAAACACATACAATAACTAGAAATACGTATGCGAAAAGGGAATGGAAGTACTAAGATGAAGTCACGAACCATTCTCACAATCGCATCTGTATCCTCCTCTTGTATTAGTGCATTGACCGTTCACGCAATTTGACGTTACACTGCATTCGTTGATGTCGACTGTACAATTCTTTCCTATAAATGAAATCTCTCAGGGGACACGTGTGGTACTCGGAAATCGGAAGAGCGGCAGCCGAAACAGCCGAAACAGCGAAGAAGTGCCCGAAAGAAAGTTTGCATTAAGTATTTGCGTGCCACCACATCTTTGGGATTGGATCTTTGCAGTCCTGATTGAGGCTAGGACATAGATAAAGTTTTGCCATCACCAAACCAAGTTCTGCCATCACTAACGGAAATGCTTTAAAAATAGCTTTTGCTTGTGTTCAATGACTCTATTCAGAAAAAAAGTGACTACTATGTAAAGGAGAATTCTACGAAAGGTCGGAGTCGAAGAATGGGAATATACATGCTTAAAAGGCATGGGGCTCTCTGAGGGTGCCATACAATGCGCGTTTCGCGGCGAAGAGCATGCCCCTACTGGTCTAGGAAAGCTGTACCCGCGTCGCTCGCGCCTAAGGCCGATGTCAGACTTTGCGAATCGCGCGATTCGCTACTAGCGATTCGCGCGATTCGCAAGTCTGACATCGGCCTAAGCACGCACCGCCGATAGTAACGCCTCATCGTCAGACTCTAGCCATTCAGCAGCGATAGCATTAGCACTGAAGGCAGCAGGGATCAGAGTCGCATGAATGTGGAAATCACCGGGTAAAGAAGGGGATCCATTTCTCGGGTTTTAACACATGTGTTTTTTTTTCTTCACCCGAGCATCACTGACCAGCTCAAATTTCTGATGGGCTACCCTTTCATCGCAAACTTCGCTTTAAGTGAGAACGTTCCGGGTCCGTTTATGGTTTATTAGACGGAAGGTATTCTTCCGTCTAATAAACCATGCGACGTGCTGCAACGAATGCTGAACGTGGTTGAACCGATTTTTTCGATAGGGAATAAATTCTCCACTTTTTTTTGACTTACCATGACAAAAACGACATATTTTTGGATGTTTAGGCAGCATGTGTATACACTTAAATCAAAATTTGACAGCTTACACACCAGTGATGCTCACAGAGACGGTAAAGCCGTACCCAGAGTCAACCGTCGCGTTCGCCCTTTTCCAAAAATTTTGTGCCCCCCTTCGGAAGACATCTGCGACCCTCCGCACAACTAATTTTAGGAGGCTCCCCCCAACCGACCACCACTCTGTATTGATTCTGAGACCAGTTGACACAGCCAACCGCCTCTCATTTTTTCCTCCAAACTTTGAATAGGCCGTCGAGCAAGGAAAGGAGGAGTTATAAGGGAGGATTGGGTAGTAGGGTGAATTGGTACAATGAAACGGTGAATCCAACAATTGAATAGTTCATGCTAGTTGCGAGAAACTTTCACCAAAGTCATCAAAGAAACCCATGACCCTCTCCCTCCCTCCCGAGATACTTCACCTTTGGCTCGATTCAAATGCAACCCTTTTTAAATAATGCAGATGCGGACCCCTCATTTCGGAACAGGGCGACGCGGGTTGACCTGCATACCGCTACCCTCCGCGAGGGTAGAAAGCTTAAGTTTTCATTAAATATGTGACATTTTGAACAGGTAAAGGTTGTGATCATGACATGGACTTAATATTCCAGAAATTTAGGTAAAAAATAAGGTTTCTGACATACCGCTAAAACCTGTCCGTCGCAAATGCACTCGTAGTCGGCGATGCGGTCACGGCACTTCGCACCATTAGCGCAAAAGCCAAGGAGGCATTCATCGAATATCCGTCTCGCAATTTGCATCTAAGTATCTAGTATTACCTGCATAATATTTTACTATTTTTGCTATCTTCTGACTCTGCGAATTTTTAGTGCATATTTTGTGCTCGAAGATGATGGCCGTTCGATTAACATGGACCATTTTTCCAACTGGCCTCGTCGCAACCGCGCGCGAAGTATTGCGGTTTTACTCGACAAAGTTTGATTCTCTACAGTATCGCAGACTGGTAATTGGATTCGGAACTATATAGAAATTACTGTGAACTTTATACATGAAAATTTATGCTTCCATAGTGGATTAATGATCCACATTGAGGACAAGTATTTCGCTTGCAGTAGCTATAGTATCTGATATAGCTGATTTGAAATGAGGGAGATGGTACATTGAACGGCAGTAACGAACGCTCATGAGTTTCATTATTTCATTCAGAACAGATTTGACTCTGTTAAATGCGTGCCTTTTAGTTACGAGAGAGTTGGGTACAAATGTGGCGCCAGTAGCATCAAAAGCATCAAAATGCACAAATGATAGCGACATCACTCAAAGATACCATCATGGTATGCCACTTAAAGCAACACTCCCTTTAGGAATTTTACCTATGACACTAATGGCGTGGAACGATGCGTAGCCCCGTAAGAGCACAATAAGTGCGAATGACAAGAAATTTATAAAGCCGTACAAGGAAGCGACAATTCGTAAGGGGCTGGTTGCCAATGGGGACAAGCACGCCCTTTCGGAAAGCGTAGCTCTTTAGCGGTGGTCAAGGTGAGTTTTCGTTCGTCACAGTTTTACTTATGTTCTGGTGACTAGGGCTAGACGCTTCGGCTCGACACCCTTAGTGTTGAAGGGAAAACTGCTGGACTGTCGCTTTACGGCTACGCATCACTGACAGACTCATAAGGGAACAGTAACTATAGGGACCTTTAGGAGTTCCACCCCGGTTTCAATGCAAACTTAAAAACTCTATAAAACTGATTTCATCTATGTAGGGTAGGACACGTATAGATTACACTTTCGAACATTGAATAGTCATAACTCTATCCGACAGTCAAGCCTGGGATGAGTGTGAATGGGCAAGAAAATGGCTCCAAATCAAAATGAAAACACTGTATCACTGGGTAATTTGCACTATAAGCATTGCTTAAGATGCATTTATGAAGTATACGGGCGGCTTTTCATTTTTATGCTACATTTCGCAATTTTGATCCAACAAAAACGTACCTCGCATCTCGTTCCCTCATAGCCTTTGGGACAGCTACAGGAGTGACTGTCAAATGACAGCTGAATACATTCACCTCTTTCACATGGATGTGTAAGGCAAGTGCCTTGCAGCTCACAACGATCACCTGAAACATCGTGTTTCACTTTCGTCGCTTCAATATCTGAAGATGACTAAAGACTGAGATCACTTTCTAGAAAGCTCACCTAGATAGTATTTCTTGCAATGGCATTTGAAGCCTTCCGCGGTTGTCTCGCAAGTGCCATCGTTCTCACAAGGAATCGACAGACACTCATCAACAAGATGCGTACAAGCAGCACCTCTCCAGCGCTATAAATTGTTCATTTAGTACAGTTTTAGTACAGCTATATCGCTGCGCAATTAGTTCGCGGGTGTCCCCCAAGAGGCCCATCGCGCGGCGAAGGAAGAGACGCAGATGCGGCAAAGGACGAGTCGCAGCGCGTGCTGTGCGATATGAGACGTAGTATGGTACACTATTTAACCTGACGCCTAACCGCTACAGTATGCGCTGCGACTCGTCCTTTGCCGCGTCTGCGTCTCTTCCTTCGCCGCGCGATGGGCCTCTTGGGGGACACCCTTAGTTCGCACTCAGCAGCAGTCTACAGCGATTAGCAACAAATCTTGATCTGCGGGACCACAACTGGTGGATAATCGCTCCCGTAAGAAATGATAAGAACATTCCACCACAGTAGTTAGATCAAAACAGTTTTAAGATGGAGACACTGTCGGGAAGGCGCGTGCGGTCGCGGGGCGGCTATACGACTCAATCGATATTTAAGCGCGCTGTTTGAGCCATGCCCTCGCGCTTACACGTGGTTTCATGGACATGGCTTCCTCCACTCCTACACCGAACCAGACGAAAAATGAACCATTACCTTGTCACAGGTGCACAACGTCGCATTCCATACAGGCGTACAATGTCCTCGACCACTGCAAGAGGATGTAGTGCACAGATCGGAAAGCACTGAGCAGGTTTTGCCAGAAAAACCTGTAATGGAAGCATTAGGGACATATCATTTTAAGTCATTCGTTTCGCTGTTCGTACACCTGGAGGTCCAAGCTTAGGTGGAGAAAAATGTGTGAAAGGTGTGCGCGAGTGGGCGCCACGAGTAAGCGCCAATAGCGAGCACGATTAGCACGCTTTTCACTATTGTTAGAGACTGCACTGTATGTTCAAGCTCGATGTAGCGGTGCAATATTATTTTTCTTGAATACTGCTGTCTGAAAATCCGATTACCTTCTTCACATTCGCATTCGAACCCGGCTGAATCTGATGCCTTACAGTATCCCGTGGTCACATGGCCTCGTTTCACATGGATCTTCACGCTCCTCACAGAACTGACCGAAGAATCCAGCTTTGCAAAGACATTTGATCCCGCCACCAGCATCCTGAATTGACAATCAGTTATAACTTAAACTATACTTATAAATGAGCAATCATCACTTACAGATTCGCACGTGCCACCGTTTTTACACGCTGCATCAGAGCATACTGACTGGTCCTAAAAGAAAAGGATCGAAAAAACGTTTAAAGGCACGAGTCGGGATTGAATTGATGCGTTATTTTGTTCAAACATTAGGCAAGGGGTGCAATGAGGAACATTAGTGAGGAGAAAAAGCAAAAAGCACCATAGAAAACACTAAATTTCCCTTAGGAGGCCGGCCGTAGTACGACGGAGACAGAGCGCGAGATAGTACGTCGTACGCGAGAGGACGCAGAGACCACGTATGCCGTGGTGGATTACGCTGGCAGCGCGGGCAGCGCGGCGGGCAAGGCCTTAGCGCCATTGCCGCGCACTTTTGGGTCGCGATAGTGTCGCGCCCTCAGTGCTTGGGGAGCCCACTATCGCACCCTGGGAAGAACTTCTGCTGGTTGCCTAATCCTGACTCGTGGCTTTAATGATCCACGGCATTGATACACACCCCCGAGGAGTTCAAGTTGATCAATTCCTTTAGTGGGTAGAAAAGATCTCTCCACGAATGCTGCAGATGTGCCGTTCTAAGTGTGCGACAGGTGAGCTAGGGCCTTTCTATATTGCTTAGATCGCTTCACTGTTTCCCGTTCATGTGTCATAATATGTGACGCGTCTGCGCTCTCTCGTAAGAGGTGCGCTCTCGCTTGTTGTCTCTTAGCGCGCGCTGTCTCTCCGCCATACTACAGTCAACCTCACCAAAGGACCCGCTCTAAGAGACACTCTACAGTCGAGGCGGTATTGTTATTTCGCCCAAAAGTGAAAGTACAGTTGTGATAAGGACCGATAGTGGAGGAAAAAGACGAGAAATCACGGAAACACTGAAAATGGGGCCCTCGTACAGGCTGTGAAGGTTCTAATAGGCCAAAACCGGAATAGTAGATACTGGTCGGGAGGAGATAAGATTTGGAGACCATGGATAGGAGCAAGAGCGGACATGGCCTATAATGTCAAATGTTGGGCGGATCCTGGGTGAAGAGTGCAACCCCATCTGCATCCTGAAGCCTTAGCGCCCCTGCTTGGCGATTTCGTGTGATTAAGTCGGTACGACCCGTATACTTGCCGACCCCTTTACCTTCCCCAGGCTGACGCTACTTTGACGACCTAATCGTGGAGAGTATTGTTACTGTTAACATTCGACGATGACACTTTTGGTTGAGTCCCTCAAACGCACGCGTGCGAAAAAAAAACGGTTGTGAACGGTTGAATACTCGGGGAGCCTGATGGGGTAAGCCTCACCTGCATCAGGAAACGAGATAAATGGAAGG